GTCTCTATGCAGTTAGTATTCGAACCGGTACACTGGCATCTTCATACCCGCTGCAAGAAACCGGATTTGAGTCAATCGATGCTTACGAAGTAAACCGACTTGTCGCATATATGAGGATTAAACGCAATAGTTCTCGAGAAACACATGCAATGCAACTGAGAGACCACCAAGTCCGCACCGTCGTCGTCGTGTTGAAGTCTCCAAGATGGAGGCAGCCCTATGCAGGTAATGTCGGGACTAGGCCGTTACTTGCGACGGAGATCGTGGCTTGGATGACGGCGTTTTAAGTGTAACGATGAGACCCAAATCTTCACCACCATGCAATCGCTCAAACCACCTCCCCAGATCAGATCCAACGTCACGGTACCCGTTAATACGACACAGCTCCACGGCTTTAGCCCCTTATTAGTATTCAACCCGCTTGGCCATAGCAGCCGATATGCTACGCTTAGCCCACCGCCTCTGAACTTTTGTAAAAGTACATTGCATTATACTACATTGGAGCTTGCAGGGTCCAGTCATGACTAGACTCCTAGAGCCATTCCTTTCAACAACACATGATGGTGAAACTCAAGGAGAGCGCTCTTTTGCAACCCGGGCTTTTGGCGCTCGCACTCAGATGTTTGATGGGTTTTGCCGGCAATTGACAATGGGTCAATTCTTTAAGAACAACGATGGAGCCACCCACGACGGATTTCCCCTGTCTTATACGTGCGTTGCAGGGTATTGTTCCTTATGAGCAAGTAAGCAATCACAACAAGCGTACACGACCTACCTCCGTGGGCTAGCATTAGTTTGTCTGTGCGGAGCATGCTATGTAAGGGCTTCGATTCACTGTATTACGCGGACAAGCAAACAACATGGAGTCCATCCCTGAGGTTCTATTTAAATGCCGGGCTCCTACTTGGACCTGTGCGACTCCATCTGGATCAGAGACCAAACCTACATCGAAGATGTCGGCCAACGGAGCACGTCCCAAGGGTACCATCCTGATCACGGGTTTGAACGGCTACCTAGCCGGTCGGACGGCCGAGCTGGTATTGCGAGAAGGATACCGAGTACGCGGTACCGTCCGCAACAAATTAGCTGGCCAGAAAGTGAAGGTCGCCCTATGTCGCTTGGGCTATGCCGCGGATGACATCGAAGTGGTGCAGATTTCGGATATATGTCGACCCGACTCTCTCGAGCTCGCTGCTGATGGTATGTATGGAAGTGGTAATATGCCCTACCAGAATAATTGCTTACCACTGTTTTCTTAAGGATGCTGTGCGGTTTTCCATCTTGCTTCGCCCCTTGCAGAGATATGGACACTCCCCCCTTCAGAGGTGATCCGGATAGCGGTGGAGAGCACAGAGAGCGTTTTGAGTGCGGCTGTGAAAGCGGGCCGTACTATGACCAGCGTAGTACTCGTGTCGTCGGCAGCGGCCTTATTCAACCTCCCGATAGAAAACCGGCTCTACACCGAGAAGGACTGGAATACCACGTCAGAACAGATTGTCGAGCGAGATGGAGATAAAGCTGGCGGTTTTCATGCATATCTCGCTAGTAAGACGGCCGCGGAGAGGTTGTTCTGGAAATTCAGGGATGATCACCAACCTTCGTTTGGGATGACGGCTCTTCAGCCCACGTGAGAATCCCCAATACCTGGATTTATTGGAACATGCTAATTATTGCCGGCGTTGATAGATATTTCATCGGACAACCACTAATTCCATGGAAGACGCCTGAGGATATCCCGTATTCTAATAGCGACTTTTGGAAGGTTGTATCTGGGGAAGAAGTGCCGGGTCCGATGATGGTCTACGGCGATACAGTTGACGTACGAGACGTGGCACGAATGCTACTGTGGTCAGCGCAGAATCCGGAAAAGGCTGACGGGGAACGGTTTGTGTGCTCTTCGGCCGTTGGTGGGGGGCAGGCTATTGCCGATATATTGCAAAAATATATACCCTCTTTGAACATACGGAGAGGACAGCCCGGGGAAGGATACTCACCTGACTACAAGCCCAAGGCTAATGTGACTGGATTTGACTCCAACAAGGCGGTTTCAATTACCGGTGGAAACTGGATTCCATATGAGCAGAGTGTTCTGGACCTCGCACAGTTTCTACAGCGGTATCTCTCATGATAATAAGCAACTGCGGTGTATTACAGAGTACCTGAGACCCATACTTATATAGACTAGATGCTATCTCAAAGCTCCTCAGACCGTTTATGTCCTGACATGCAATAAGTTGGCTCTTAAAGATGGGTGAAACCAGTTCTATAAGTGATGTGCTAGACGGAATCTCAGATAAATCAGAGTGTCTGCAACATTTCTTTCTTTAGTAACCTTGCCATATGCTTAATCTAAACTCTCTACATGTATGTTGTGCATTTACTAAGTCAACTGGATAATCTCTGCTGAGCGCTCAACAAGCGTACCAATCAAGTACAGTAAATTTTGTGTAATTTTGCGGAATTACCAAGGACAATTCGTCATTGTGACATGTGACATGTGGTAGCCGCTGTAAGACAATGACACGAGTTTGCCGCATTTCGACTCGAGCAAACCGCATCCCCCACTTTGCAACCGTGCATTTTTGAGAAATAAGCACGAGTAAAAGAAGGAAAGGAAGAAAGAAAAAGAAGTAGGGGGGAAACGTTCGATCCATAATCTGGTTAAATTGGACATGGCTAACATAGGTCGTTATATTCATATGTAGTGTTTGGAACACAATTAGATTGGGCTAAAGGTTGAACAAGATAACGCCTCTTTCATGACCCACAGCAGCAGTTAGTCTTAGCCTCGTTCAAGCTCAGACCACTTTCTGCGAGATCCGTATACTGCAAGACATTGTGTGACCGGGGGGGGGGGTTGTTAGTATGGTACAGAATGTGCTGTTAGTAGATCCCATACGGACCCTAGTCACGGCGTTTAGGGAGTTAAGAGGAGGAAGATTTGAGGGATTTTGGTAGCTAATTCAATTCCTTGATTAGATGCCTACTAAGTAGATAGATTGGTATTGTAGGTATTGATTGGAGGACCGTGAACGCCTGATGACAAATTCAGACTCGCATCATATTAGCCCTGAAGATAACAAGCAGTAGTCGTAACAGCAAGATTTGGTATCAATTTCGTCGTCGCGTTTTCAATTCGATCAGAAGGAAAAAAGACTTCCCCACACACAAGCTCTGGTCATGTCCACAGCGCCGGTGAGTCCCCGACTGATAATGTCCCGTAGTGAAGTGCTTAGGCATGCGTGAGGAAATAGTTTCCAGCCAGAATTTCACCAAGCCCTAGCTTCTTCTCCGCGTCGGCCTCATTCCACCACAGCCTAGCCGTCAGCTTCACCTCCTCGGCGAATTTGAGCGAGCTCCTGATCTTGGCAGCATCCAGTCCCTGCGGCTGCTCAAAGACCAGGAATACGTAGCGATGCGCCGAGCTGGGCTTGGGAGGTCCGGGGGGCAGCCACGGCACTACCCACTCCGAGCCACCCTCGAGGGGAGCAAAGCCGTCGTCGCCGGGGGTGCCGGCTACGAGGTCGAAGTGCAGGCCGTGCAGGATGGGGCCGAGGAAGGACCACGAGGGGAACGGGGCATCGAGATCAACGGAGATGACGACGTATTTGGTGCCAGGCTCCGACTTCAGGGCGCTCGCAGCGATGGAGAAGGTCGGTGTTGGCGTGGCTTGTGCAATGGTGAGGTTGTCGCCGGCCTTGGAGTGGGTGAGTTCAGGGAAATGTAGGCGGAGTTTGGCGTCGGCTGCCAGTGCCTTTTCCACGCTCGGAGCTTGTTGACCCATGGTGAGAAAAGAAAGAGTGAACAAGTCAAATAAAAATAAAAATTCAAAGGTATCCTGCCGCTTGTTGAGGTATACGTTAGATTGGAGAGGAGAAATGGCTGGGTATCTAGTTCGCTATCAGTAGAAACTATTTTTTTTGCCCATGCGGCACCGCTGCACTGCAGCGCTGCTGTCTTTATACCCGGAGCAGGGGAGCTCTAAGCCGTGATCGGCTCGTCATCCGTGTGTGAAATTCAATACTACCTTCCCCCAACTTGTCGTGGTACCGATCACATACAGTAATATAACTATAGGACCCCTGTTCCCATTTTGCATTATGCCCCTCATACCAAATGATACCATACTTTATCCATTCGTCGTAGCTTCGCCCTCCCAACAATCCTCAACTTTCACTACTTGGGTAGTCACTTGCTACCTAACTGAACTACACCCACTGAATTGACAACACCATTCTACAAGGTCGCAGCTCTAAGAGGCTCTCTCGGTATCGGCAATCGCCCCGAGATTAGCGTTAATAGGCGGGAGTTGAGCCTAAGAATGCGCAAAATAGTCAACTCCCAATAGGATCTTGACAACACTAGTTTTCACCATCTGCTGGTATATGTATTACATAATACCAGTGATGGTCAAATGAGTGTCTCGAGTACCTACTAGTGGGCATCACAGCTCCTACTCAGTACGCATATTTAAGAATTCGGTTGCTGGAATCAATCAAATGAGTGATGCTCAAATTACACGACATCTGCAGTACCTAGGATATATAGTGTACAAAAACAAATGCCCTGGGACAAGTGGCCGCGCATAATTAACTGAAGTAGTATAGTTCGCATACTCTCTCGTGCATCGTTCGTCTAAGTAGTATTGGTAGGTAGTACGAGAGACGGCGGTAAGCCTGCGGAGCCCAGCCGGCCAATTTCTTACTTGCTATTGGACACGGTTCTCGGGCGCCGAAATACCGTACTCATAGCCCTCGTTATCAAACAATACTATCCTACAGCAATATTGCGTCTCACCTATTCTTTGTTTTACTTATTTGTCCTGGCCTAAAGAGTAATGTTGCGTAACAACTCACTATAAACAATGAGATGGCGTAATTTTGTTCTGGTAATACTGAGTATGGAATTATACTCTTTCACTTAAGGGCAGCTAATCTTAACTAACTATAACCGATCACGGTTACATGAACATCCATGATTCGTGGAAAATCACCTCAAATGCCCTGGTAGCTCAATTGGTTAGAGCGTCGGACTTTTATCTACAAGTTGGAGTTATCCAACCGGGTCTGCGATCCGAAGGCTGCGGGTTCGACCCCCGCCTGGGGCGATTCTCTTTTGTCAATTCACGATGTCCTATGTCATTCATCAGTGACAGTCGTGTCTTTTTGTTGGACTACCTACCTTACCTACCCTTCAATACTCGTCCAGGGGCAGTCCTGCATGAATAAATTAGGTGGCAAGGATTGGTTCCAAGCATATTAAATATATTAGTCATCACTCTCTCAATCAAAAAACATCTTGTGTATATCCTATTTTAATCAAATTCTAAGCGGAAGAAGATGTTTGTTTGTTTGCCTTATGACAGAGTCACGCAACGAACATGAATGCTCTTATAAGGCCACATGAATTCGATTCCAAAACTGTTTAATAACAAAACTTTCAACTTTAAGGGGCCTCGACGCCCCTGATACGCAAGCCTAGATATAGGAGCCGAAACATACTCCCACGAAGTTATCACAGAATGCGAATGTGCAACAGGCTACAGTCTGGGCTCGATAGCAGGGAAGTCTCTGCACTGATTAAGTTGTAAAGCCGGACACATGAGCCAGCCATGATCTACTACCATAGTAGTATGTAGAGAGTAGCCACATGACTAATATCTCACTATTAGTAACGATTCTGTATATGATATGAATCATATTGTTCCTCCCATGCAGGCACTTGCCATGAAAGGTCAACCATAGGCAGGGGTTACATAATTCGTTGTTACGCGAGGAGCTACAATATCCTCCGGTGACTACTACTAGGCTATATACACACACTACTCCTTTGTTCCATATCCTAACAGCACTCTACCATTTTACTAGTTTGCCCATAGGAAGAACCCGAAAAATCATACGTGTATGTTCCAGATCATCAGGAGTTATCCTAACACCTACAATTTGTTAGCTATGAGACGAGATTTTCCTTTACTTAAAATGGTTGCGCCTCAAGTACCAAAGTAAGAGATATCTGACAAGACAGGCAGTATGTACAAGCCCATTTCTATTTTCGATACCATTCAGCATCAGCCACGATTCCCAACTGAAGACTAAATCTTACGTTAAGGTAGTGGAATCTAGACGTGAAGTGATAAGTATTATCGCTCATTATGATCATTATTCTAATCGAAGATGGAACGGATACATGAGCGTACCCTAGACTGGGGTCTCCGAGATCTAGATCAACATGTGTAGCTGCGTTCGAAGCGGTATACGAGATAGACAAAGCATGCCGTCGCAGCACGAACGCACGAACATAAGAACATTGATTGCTACATGCAATTTATTTAATTCCTTCGATGGGCCAGCATATAGCCCCATCGTTTTGAGATAGCTGGTGGTTCCTGAGACCGTAGGGACGTCACTGCATTCCGCGAGAGACGCTCGTCGACACTTCTGTAGCTCTGTGATTGAAAAGGGATGGATGCATCCATTTGACTAGCCATGATAGCTACGCGCTATCCGCGCGCGTCAGAAACCATCGAAATCCCAAGGCGCCAAGTCCTTGAGATCCGTCAGGTTCTCGAGAATGGTTGCTGGTTCTGTACGAACCTTCAGAGGTGAGGATTAGAGCTTAGCTTAGCTAGGGTTATTGCGCATGGATCAAATACTAAAAGCCAGAACAGAGATACAGTCGTGCCGTATGGGGTGTCTTTGTATCATAGATGTGCTATTGTCATCTGCAAGAGAAACCTCGATGCAGTGATTGCGGACAGAAAGTGATCCTTGGAGATGAACATAATAGGGGAGGGACAAACCCCACGGTCTTGAATTTGATGACTACAACTTTTATGCCATAGATGATCGCCAGGTCTCAGCGTGCGTCACAAATCAGGCAATGTGCCGAGTAGACTTAGTCTTTGAGGGATCGTTTTAGGCTGATAAGGGTCTTTCTTAGTGTATTCTTTTGTTAGAACCATAAACCGGCTCTAGCCTATTGACCTAGTACTAGCGACGGTAGAAGAGGCAACCCTGCTACTCTTCTTCTCTAACGCGAATCTTTTGGTTATAGGAATGCTGAAGCCAAGGAACGTCAGGGGATCCTAAATAATCCAGAGAATCTCACTTCAAGGAGAGGCTTTTTAAGTTGTCGACTGGACGCGATTAATTGCTAATCAGATAAAGCGAGATTCATGTTTGATATTGAATACATATACAATGGCATTATTCGAACATAAATTGATATAGGTGAAGCAACGACCAGACAAAATCCGCTAACGCTTGCATGTAAATAAAAAACGTGAACACAATAGGGTATCCATAGTAAATATTCATCGCTTTGAAGAAACACGCCGGTCTTCGGGGGTACCCAACTGATCCAAACCCACGCTCGTCAAATCGTAACATGCCGCCTCCTCCAAATCCAAAGCCGAGTCAAAGCCTTGTCGTTTAAATCATAGATCGCACTAGGGTCATGAAAAGTAGAGCCGATTCGGTTATGATAGAACCAATAAATGATAAGTCACCAGACCTATTATAGTTGCCATGACTGGCGTCTCAAATAATTCTGGTACAAGCTTTCCAGCGCTTGAATCTTCTGACTCTCCAGTACCACCACCGCTGCTGACAACCTGCCCCGAGGAAGCAATCACTTTGTCACCTGAGGGGTATCGGATATTATAGACAGGATCTGTTGTCAAGGCGACAGGGTCACCCAGAGTATGGGCGCAAGTAGGTTGATTGGCAGTAGGCCAATCCAGACTGCATTTCTCATCGTGGCCCCAGGAGCAAATGGGATCCTGGATATTGTATAAAACATAGTTTTTAGCCACCCAGCTATCCGGCTGCTCGAGGCAACTCGCGAGATAGTTGATGCTGTTAGACGCGCTGAGAGGAAGCTTATGGCCGTCTGTATGAATGAGACTAGAACAGTCCGAAGGATCTAAATATTCGTAATCCATGGCGATGCCACCACCCGCCGTAGGCTTTTTGGTCGCCGAGTATCCCGTCACGAGATAGTTCCATGCGTCGTAGCTGACGTCGTGAGCACCCTGGGAGGAGTCGATGCGAAGCAGCTTGACAGAGCGGCCGCCATAGCTCAACGACACGCAGATGTTGGTGCAGTCCACGGAACCCGGCCAGTAGGCGATGCGATCGGTGTCGACCTTGCAGCCGAGGACGCCGACAGAAGAGGAATAGCTGTCATGAGGTGTTGCCGACACGGACCCGCCGGTTCCAGATCGAGCGGCGAGAGGAGTTGCCGCGGCGGGCGAAGCTGTCAGAAGTGACAGAAGAACATAATGAGTGGCAGGGCGCATGATTCAATTGGTCTAAGGAGTGGCTGAGAGGGCTTGTCTCAAACACCGCCGGTGTTAAGTAGTCTCAAATGAGCGACGACGGCTGAAAAGAGTGAATGATTGTCTGAATGAATAAATGAGAGTGGCATGTCGCGTGCGCCCGGAGCGGCAACGAGGTCGCTCGGATTGTGAGCTAGCTGGCTCCTGAGTGAGTCTGCGACCGCGACTCGACCGACGAACAAGTCGCAGTCTGGTGCTATTCGATTATGAAGTCGAATTGAATTGGCATTGCCAAGTAAAGAAAGTACCGTGCCAGAATGGCTGAGAGAAAAAGGCGCGCCACGAACCTGGAGGCGTCCTATCGTGGTCAGGCGTGATTCGACGATTGGGGAAATTAAATGAGCATGTCCATTTTCGGCTTAGTAGAAAGACCCTGACTTCTGGGTTAACCTTAAAAGGTGGGGGTTATCGAGCGCAAATTGGGGGTCATATGTAAAACAGGGCTTCGCAAAGCCCACGCTACATGGCATGTCACGTCACATCACGACCTTTTGAGTACCTAATGTGTTCCAGAAAATTTGTTGAACAGATAAGAATGTGTCTATTTGTATATCTTCATGATAAAAAAAATAGGAAAGTCCAGATCCAAAATCCAATGCCGCGCGCATTGTCCTGTCTAAAGAGAAAACGCCGTCAAGATTTACCCATCCTATTGTCGATGGCTCTTGTTTTATAATCGTGGATATCATCAATTCGTCCAAATCATGTCCGTTTATATGATGGCAGCCGCATCTGCGGCGCTGCCGTGAAGGACGGGGTTTACCGTCTCGTCAAAGTGCATCTTGAAATCGTCGCCCAGTTCCTTGCGCAGCGCTGTCTGGACCGCCTCCAGGACGTTGGGGAAGACGCCAAAGTTAGCCGGGTTGTTCTCGTCGTTCTCGCCGCCCTGGAATACACCGGTACGGACCAGGCAGGTGTTCCACCCGTACATGTTGCCACCGATGATGTCGGACGCCGGATTGTCACCAATCATGTAGATGTTCTTTGGTAACTTCTCTTCACCGTGGATCTGCTCCATCCACGACGCCATGACCTCGTCAGCGTACTTGTACGTCGCCAGCTCTGGCTTGCCGTACACCACTCGCTCGAGGTCGACGCCGGTCATGGCCTTGTACATGGCCTCGAGACCGACACGGAATGCACCTTGTGACATACGGGGTGTCCAGTGCTCCGTTGGGCAAAGCAAATCACCCTGAGAGAAGTAGATGGGAATGCGCTGCGACTCCGGGTCCTTAGCCTTGGTTCTCAGGCGGCCATTCTCCGAGAGCAGCAGATCCATGATGATTTGTATGTCGGTCGCGTAGTCTCTAGAGTCTGAGAAAACGAGGATAGCATTGATGTTGTGCTTGCTGAAGTCTCGTGGTCGCGACATTGCCTTCTCATATTCAGTGAATTCGCGATAGGGAGCGATTGTGGGGTCCCAGGCGACGATGTCGTTAGGTACGATAACATCTTTGAAGCCGTACTTCTCAGCAACTTCGCGGCATCGGTAGCCAACACCACCTACGACAAGTACTGAATCATAGTATGAAGCTAGCGCGCTCATGGGGGTGTGAGACTGGATGAACTGCTCAGTGTTCACAGGGTTCCTCAAGATCTTGGTTAACTGGTCGCAGCGTGCTTGTTCAGGCTTGCCACTGCCGTTCGTCAAGAAGATGTGTGGAATCTTGATACCAAGCTCATTGTCACCGTTGAGGACCTCGAGCGCACGCTTACCCTCAGGGATGAGCAAGTCACCGTGGACAAGGACACCGTCAATGTCAAAGGCA